AAAAACGAACCTTGCACCAGAGGCAGATACACAGAGTGGAAGATTCAAGCCATGATGGTTAAAGTTCTGCATGTCTTAATCTGTCACTTCCATCTGGATAATTGATGCAAATTATCAATTTTAAATAATTACAACACAAAGATGGCTTTCATCCCTGCTTTTAGACTTGAATTAAAGAAGAAGGAAACTGCTTAAGTGAAGGCCAGAAGCTACCCAATAATATTCTATGCAGCAATTTGTCAGCTTGCCCAAAGGAGATAAATGGGAAAGTGGAAATATTTATAGATTCAGAAGCAGCCTTCTATTTGTTACAAATCAACTAAAGCAGGAGAATAACACTGGCACAGTTTATGAACTTTACTTCTCCAGATGATTTGGGATGGCTTTCTTGCTAGAGTTGCATATTAGGCTATTTGAATAAATATGTTTGGCATAAAAACCTGTCCTTGAAAACAACTGTTGTAAGTGTATGAGGCATACAAAGTAGCTGACAAATTTCAGGCAGTCTTGAATAATTTTTTCTTTTTGTAGGAGTAAAGGCTTATGTTATATTGAAGGGAAAAAGGAAAAATGAGATGGCGGAGGAGGAGATCTAAGGAGAGATGTGGCCTTAAGTTAGACAATAGGACGGTTTTTGTAAGAGAAGGTATACAAAAAGAACTAGAGTTAATGCAGAAAACACATGGCATAAGCAATTATCTATGTAGATCTTGTAACTCTTTTCCATCATTGTTTTGAAATCATTTTAATGTCATGATCCCTTCTACTTCTATAGTTCATAATATTAAATTAATAGTGTAAATTTGTATAATTAAATAGTCAGAATATCATGAAAGGGAGCAGAAGTCTTTCCTGGAACTCTTGTTAAAATAAATTAATTTGAAGGTATGTCTACAGTGAGGACACTAACTCAAGTAGACCTATCCACACTAGCTTTAACTGGGCTAGCAAAACATTTACACTGCTACCAATACCCAAGTTAGCTCATTTGAAGAGGGGTTCTTTTTTACATTTCCAAACAACAAAGCTCTCTGAGCAAAAATCCAAGATTAGATGCAATTGTGCCAGCAAATAAGTCCTTTTGTTAGTATAGATCAGGTGTTTTCAACCTTTTTTAACAAGTGTACCCCTTCTTTCTCAAAGTTCCAGCTCATGTACCCCTTTATATTTTTTTTGTGTTTTTAAGGGATGGGGCTGATTGAGGCCCCTGCGGTGAGGGAGAGAGTGGGGCTAGGGCTGGACAGCCGGGGCAAAGTGCAGGATGGAGCCAGGGGTGTAGGGAGGGGGGTGGTTCCTGCTGGTGCATGCACCCTGGGAGGGCATGGGGTCTGTAGACCCAGATCTGTGCATAGAGTGGGGCGGGCTGTCACTGTCAGCTGGGGCTGATGCTAGGTTGTTCCCAGCTGGTGCTGGGTCAGGCTGCACTCAGAGGAGACAGTGGTTGACGGTGGTTATGGCAAATCATGGAGTGGCTGCAGCCTCCCTCCCAGTGCCACTGCTGCTGCCCACCCCAAGCACAGCCTACCCCAGCCCCCACCAGAAAGACCCCAGTTCAGCCCCACAGTGGCAGCCACCCCACCCCACACAGATCTGGGGGCACATGCCCCCCATGCCCTCATGGGTTGTGCATAGGTGTGGGAGCCACCCCCACTCCCTGTGCTCCCTGGATGAGCCACAGCTCCGTCCTGCACCCTGCCCTGCCCCAGCTGAACAGCATTTAGCCCAGCCCCTGCCCCACTCCCTCCCTCACTGTGACGGCCTTGCTCGAGGCCACAAGTGGCTTGTGTGGGAGGTGTGTGTGGGAGGGTGGTAGCTCCTGCTGCTGCACGCACCCTGGAAGGGCATGGGGGGCATGTGTCCCTGGATCTCTGTGGGGCAGGGTGGAATGTCGCTGTGGCCTGGGGCCAATGCTGGGCTCTTCCTAGTGGGAGCTGGGCTGGGCTGGGCTGCACTTGGGGTGGGTGGTGGTAGTACTGGGAGGGGGCTATGGGTAGGGGCTGTGGTGAATTCGGGGGGGCCCCTCCCATAGTCCCACTGCCACCCGGCCCCAAGTACAGCCTGGACCAGTCCCCTGCTGGGAAGAGCCCGGTGCAGCCCTGTCCCTGGCCCCAGCCCCAGCTCCACTCCCTCCCCTACTGCTGGGGCATCGATCTGCCTCCCCCACTGGCCCGTTTCCTCACAACACACTTACCAGCCAGACCCAACTACTCTCCTGGCCACCTGCATGCTGTGCTGCAGCTGCAGCTACATGCATACATATGGCATTTATCGGCCATATTAGGTTGGCAAACCCCTTAGGACCTTTTTAAGTACCCCTAGGGGTACATGCATCCCCAGTTGACAACCACGGGTATAGAATATTTTGCTTGGGAAAGTGTTTTAAACAATCCCAGCACAGAAAATAAACCCCCCAAATTCTTGCCAGTATAAATTCACATCCACAAGGGAAAGACTGATAGTATATCTTTTCTAGTATAGCTATGCTGATGTGAAAACCTTTAGGAAGGATTTAAAATCAGAGAATTAGCTTCAAAGTGTGTGTGTATGTATCCCTGTCTGTCTGACGGATAACAATTTGGATAGGCCAAACAATAATAATTTTAGCATTGGGAGAAATCTTAAAATGGGAGTGGGATAGGAAAACTGTACCTGAACTTACTCTTACTTTCCAATAATAGATAACAAGTTAGTTTCCAAGCAGCATTAAAATGGCATAAATCATGCTTATTTAAATACTAAATAGCTGAGCATGTCTTGCCTAGACTAATATCATGTGACTGAAATTTGCAAGCCTGTAAATGTGAAGCGACAATTTAGGTATTTAAAATTCTGGAAGACCTTGAGAAAGTAACTAAACAAAAGTGTTTTTAACAAAGAGCTGAATGCTAAAGGAGGTTAGGAGAAATTTTACTAAGTGGGGAATGAATTCTTGGGTGAAACAGAGTACTGAAGATAGGCTTTGCAACTGAGTATTCAGAAAGAAATGAGTTAAAAATGCAGATATCTGGAGAGGGAAAACATGACAGAAGATAAACACTATATAGGTGGATTAATACATATAGACATATGGTTTTCCTGTAAATGTTTCTAGGCTACACGTGGTAAGCTAATAAGCACCTCAGGTAAATTGCCACTATAATTAAAGTACTAGAAGACCAGCAATCACATCAGTGTCCTGATTTATACTCCCATTTTGCAGTAAGGCTTCAATTTTTCAGCTTACATTTAAATACATTAGAACTCTTGTTCTGCATAGGATTGATGTCAGCTATTATAGATGTGTTTTATGTTAATGTTTGAATTTTCTTCCTGTTGTTTTGAGCTTAAGAACAATTATGTGGAAGGTCCAACCCCAACCCACAGGAATTTTTTTTTTATTTTTATTTCTCCTGCTTTTTTTTTTCATTTGTTACTTTTAAAAGTAACTACACAAATTAATACTGTACTAAAGATAAAACACACTGCTTACAGGCCACTACAGATCAAATTACATGTGATTATTTTCCATTTAATTCTAAAAATTAGTATCACACAACAGTACTACATTTTTTTGCATCCTCAAATGTTACAAGCTATGGAGTTCATCTAAAACACTCTGGAGGAGTTTTACCAAGACTGAGGGCTTTGGATCAGGCCATAAAGATCCATGAAGTATATTACACAAGAGTCTGAAGTGGAGCTCAGTTCTTTTATGCTCAAAACTTCCCCTGAAGTAAGCTATCAAACTGAAGAATACAGGGTCTTGTTAACCATTGAGTAGAATGTCACACCTACATAATTCCAGGAAAGATTGATCTAAATAGAGCCACATGAAGAGTAAGGTAATGCTCAATGTAAGTGAGGATGGGAGAACTTAGCCCTATCTGATCCGGATGAACTGTCCTTTGGTACGCCAACCATTTTTATAAATCATTTTGTTTGTATAATATCTGGATTTAGGTTTCAGGAGCTGTACATTTCAACAGGAGTTCCAATTTTATACAAGAAAAGCCTGTACTATGAAATAGAGAAACTTAAAAAGAAAATTCGGTGTCTTGCTTAATAACTGGAAAAAGACTGCAGTCCAAATTATATAGTAAAGTACACAAATTATTACTGCTGTCAGTATTACAATCCAAATACAATGGGTTTTTTTGTTATTATAACATGATTCATATACCCTTTTAATTTATGAAGCAGATTTTTCTCTCCAGGAAAACTTTATTTTTCTATTTCTAAAGAAATGGAAATGACCATCCTACAGGACTTGTAACTCTTTGGAAACAGTTTTACCTAAGTGGAATGCAGTACTTTAAAACAGAATTTTAAAACTGAATGAAAAAACAGCCACTAAGACTCTGTCAAAGATCAGAGAAGATCAGTTGAAACCAAACACAACACTCACCACTGTAAAATGATTAACATTTCATGGGCAACCAATGTAATATAAAAAATCTCCATTTTATAAAGGAGGCTGTTTATAATATTGAATAATGAGTGAGGGTCCTTAGTAAGTGAAAAAGTTGTCTTTTGAGCAATAACAAAAATGTTCCATGCTAACAATATAGTTTCACTATAAATTAGTGAACTGAAGGCATCTAAAATGTAGATCATCAGTACTTTTGAAATGTTTCAATATTATAAAAGTCTCCATTAAAAATGTACAGGAAGTACAGATGTACCACCTGAAGCCTTCATTTCAAACGCAACCCCTTTCTCCAATATTTAAAGAATGCTTTTTTTTCCTTTAAAAAAAATATCAACCCACCTAATTAGTGATAATGACTACCATATCCACGAGTACAAAAAACAGATCAAATTCTAGCCTTCTTTACAACTAGCTTGAGTAACAATAAAACTACAATATTTTAATATACAAAGAATTGACATAAGTTGTCAGAAAAGGTTGTGAAGCAAAATGATGACATTAAATGCATTCTTGTTTTAAAACCCTGTTATTGAAGCTTATATATCTATTCTGCAATGTAGTAAATCATATAGAAAATGTTAGGTGTACTTACAATTTGTTCCAATAATCAAGACTATGTAGAAGCAGTAGCCAGAAGTCATATCTGCCGCACAGGAACTGAATTAAGAGTCAATGAATGCTGTTTTCTAAATTGCACAAACTATAGTGGTGGTTGCAAGTTCTGTGCCTGACAACCTTCAGCAGACTGGAAAGCAAGCTTCCTCCCCTATCCCTGCTTCCTCACTTACTCTCCTATAGCCTTGCTTGTGCTCTCTGTCTCTCTGATACACACACATACACACATCATCCAAAGCAGGGATAGGGGGAAAAGTTTCAGAGAACATACAGTCTCTTCTTGTTTACTCTCAAGGCTCCTGTTTCTGTGTCCTGTGGCAGACTAAAACTGGGGTGTGTGCATTGACACATGTCTGCCCTGATCTGTCAGCCGCTACCCAGAATAATGAGAACTCTAGAGAATTATTATTGATACACTCAGGATTTTTTTTTAAACCTGTTACTGGAGAATTGTCTCATTGAAATAAATATCTGAAAAACTAAACATTTGTTGCAGCTTGAACAACGATTAGAGGGTTTTTTCTGGTAAGAAGCAAGTAAAATGTATAAACACAATTTCTTTGTAGGAAGTCAGTGATTAGCTAAAGCATAGGAATCTGCAGAACAGAAATTATTTCCTATAGCAGCACATAATTCACTAAAAGGAATTTTTTGTATGTTAAGCACTATTCTGTTATGTTGATTGGTGCTGGACTAAATGATCTGGAACAGTGGTGAAAAGGGTCCTAGTCAGAAACATTTATTACAGAGGAATTAACATTTCCACAGCTACTAGCATATCTTTTCCTGTTACAGTAATTGATTTCTTTTCTTCTCCTTATTTTCCTTTTGTTTTGTCACTGCCTGTAACCATATCTACTACTTGAATCTCAAATCTCTTTGGCCTTCTTCATTAGTTTTGAGGCTAAAACTGTTATCATTTTAGATTTCATTAATTGTTTCAATAGCACAGATACACTCTGAACACTATCCCATACCCATTCACTGCCTGTGCTAGGGAAAAAAAGAGGAATGGTTTTTAAATGTGAAAGCTAACACTTCTGCATAGGACACATTGTATTTTAACATGTGTTAGCCGGTTGAAGTGAACTTGAGGCAGGGAGCCTAAGATTAACTCAAGATGTGAAAATGGAATTAAAAAAAAAAGCCCTACTATGTTTGAGCAGATTTCTAATATGAACAGATTACTAATTAAAAAAAGCCCTAATATGTTGAACAGATTTCTCAGCTCATGTACCTCAGGGAGCCCTGAAATGTAACTGGTACATTTTCAGATACTGCAGATACCTATGGAAGAATCATCCTAGTCAGAGAAATTCTGTTTGAGTGTCCTTGTGAATTTAGATTGTGTAAAAAGTAGTGATGATGCCAGAGAGCAAATCCACATTGTTGCTATGGCAAAATTGTTAATGAAATGCATATTACAAACTGTCAGTCTTTACATTCCCAGTCTGAAACTCGCATTGAATAAAGGGGCTTTGAACATGGAAACCCATAAGGGCAGCACCGGGGCTGTCATTACTGCAGTGCATAGCTGGGCCACTCTTTTTCCGGCTGGGGACTATCAAAGGAACTGGTTCTGGTGCACACTGAGTTCAGTTTCCTGCAACTATATAAAAGGTAGGTTAATCCTCACACATCCACCTATTCTGGAGCTGGTGATTTTAGGTTAAGAAGTATTCTTCCTTCTAGTATGGGAGGACAAGAAGGATGCTGGAACTGAGAATGTGAAGAAATATTATACCCAAGAACTAGAGAAAGAAAGTTACTTTTTTACTAGAGACTTGACAGTCTACTATCTTAGCTGTTTTTTTACCCCCTCAAAAGCAATGGTGAGTGTACATATTTGCTGTTATTTTGGTCACTTTTGTTCAAGATACACAGGACTTGCACATGTTCTGAAACTAAATAAATGATG